ATTGTCATTGGTGACCTGAAGGAAACTATTAAAAGAATTGGCACAACAAGCCTGAACTATGCATTGTACCCTGTGATTTTTCTTTTTGCAAAGCCTGTGATACAGTCCCCCTTCCAAGCTGAAACTAGGGGTCGAACTACATGTTACAATTTGAAATGTGTAGTGTCTGGATTATCCCAACCTGTCTTTGACTGAGACAGATGTTGAATGCCGTGATTCAGACCCGTGATTCAGATTGAGACCTTGGTGTCAGGGAAGAAGGCGCTTCAGCCTCCCCTGTGCCATTTTCCTTACCTAAAATGACCCAAGAGATGTTGTGTGCCCCATTGGGAGGCTGCATGTGTATGGATGGACTACATGTATATCCACCTCACATGAGACAAATAACACTCCTGAGCCATTTGGGTTGGGGAAACAATGTAGAAGGATAAGTCTTGAAGCCCCTTCTCCCACTGCAGTCCTGGTCCAAAGGGCCCTTGCGCTTAGGAAATTAGTTCCTACAAGGGGCGGACCCGCGATACTCGCAGGGGGGGGAGGGACCTCCACACATGAGGCAGAGGAGGAAGCAGGAGGAGGAGGTAAGTCCCCCCCCATCCCGCCTGTTCCTCCCCCGTCTCCTCCACCCCCCGCTTGATCCCCCCCTTGGGGGGATTTAAGTATCCCCCCGGTATTTTTTCCGTGTTTTTAGATTTTTGTGCACACCTGGGGACTGCCCCAAGTGTGAACAAAAATCTCCCTCCCCCCCAGGTGCCCCCGATGCGCGGATTTAGGTATCCGCACGCAGGGGGCGCCTTTCGCTATTAGATATATAGATGCATCTGATTTCTGGTCTTCTCAGACCAAGTCAGTTTGGGGGAAACCCAGACACTACGTGTTCCAAGCTGTAACATGTAATTTGACCTTACTCCATGACCTGTGCAACTGGAATAGATACATTATCTCCCTCTCTGTCCTAAATCCCTTCCTTTTCTTATGTTCAGCTGTACATTGTAAGCTCCTCAGGACAGGTAACAGTTGCCTTGTATTCTGTAAAGTGCTGCAACAGTGATGGAATGATATGTGCGCCAACTTACTTCACTTTGTCGGTGCAGCCTTTTCTTCCCAGCTTCTCAACAGTTTCGCCTGATAGGCCTCCTCTCTTGTTGCGGAGCATCCCACCCATTTATTTTGCCATTGGGCTCTCCCGTCTTGGTATGGTTTACTTTCTAGTCGTGAACTTAGCCAGTGTTCAAAGCATTAGAAGAGCAGGGATGATAGGAAGGCAGGACACTGATCTCTGTCCAGGTGGATATATTCAAATCTGTATTCAGCTATGTAATTTACTTAAGAACATAAGAACATAAGAGACGCCAATTATGATCACTGTTCCCAAGCGGTGCAATCACTTTTACATCTCTCACCAGGTCTTGAGTGTTACTTAGGACCAAATCAAGGATCGCCTCTCCCCTGGTAGGTTCCGTGACCATCTGCTCCATAGCACAGTCATTTAGAGTGTCTAGAAACTCAATCTCTTTTTCTCGACTAGAACACATATTGACCCAATCAATGTGTGGGTAGTTAAAATCACCTATTACGACACAGTTTTTTTTGTCTAGCTGCTATCTTGAATTCATTCATCATTTTATAATCCTCCTCTATCTTTTGATCTGGTGGGCGATAACAAACTCCCAGTGTTAAGTTTCCTTTTGGCCCCCCTATTTCAACCCATAGAATTTCCAGAAGCGAATCCAATTCTCTTAGCCTCTCAGTTCTCTTAGACTCCCTGATCTCCTTGGATGAGGCAGGGTGCCAAATAAGAAATGGGAGATGCCAGCTGGGTTTTTTGTTGTTATTTGGGGGGGGGGTGTTGTTGCTATTGTATATTGTTGATTAAACTCTGATCTGAAATTGTTCTGTTTGAATGAATATGGAGTCAAGTTCATCATAATTACTATTTCAAAATCAATGTTGTATATAGACTCCCAGCACTGTGAGCCCCAAGTTAATGCTTGAAGGCACAGGAAGGATGTATCAGTTTTGCTGAAGCTAAGCAGGCCTGGGTCTGGTCAGTGTCTGGCTGGGAGACCTCCCTACTCAGCCAAGAAATTCAGCAGGCCATCTAGGATCCATCACTCTCATTCAGCCTAACCTACTTCACAGGGTTCTTAAGATAAAACTGGCTCAGAGAACCATAATTACCACCCTGAGTTCATTGGAGGAAGTATGCAATACTTTAAAAGGTAATGCAGCTACTAAAAAAATGCAAGAAGGTAATTGTCTGTTCTTACAGGTTTATGTACATTAGTCAGATTCATACAACTTTGTTAATGTGTCAAAACTGAAGTGATCCCTACCAACTCAAAGTGGATCATTTGCCCTTCTGAGTGGATCCTGTCTTGATCTGCTCTGTAATGTAACATATCTATGTCATGGGATACTGGAACTGCTGACCTCTCTTTGTAATAACTCTTCCCTCCCTTTACCCTTTTGCTGTTAAAAGCATTGGCGATATGTATATATTTGTGCATATAGAGGGTTAACATATTTTGAAAAGCAAAAAAGAGGACATATTTCCCGACGGACTACTTCAAACAAGTGATCACTATGACAAATCTCATTTTAAATATCCCTGCTATTTAAGCTGTGATAATTGCTAATAGCTGGGAATGTTCCGAACCTTCCAACCCCTCAAAAGGACATTTTCATAAGTTTTTTTTTAAAGGGCCCAAAAGATGAGGACGGACACCAAAAAAAGAGGACATCTGTTAATCCCAGCATATATAAATACAAATCTCACCTTTGAGCAATTGGTGATGTGGGCTCCATGTCAGTAATAACTGTGTTAGTTCGTAAGGTGCCATAAAAGACCTTGTGTTTTGGTTGCATCAGACTAACACAGCTACCTCCTCTAGAATTTGAGATAAAAATGTGGTGATTATTAAAAACAGAGATAATCTTGCCAAAGAAGAACCTCAGTATTCAACTCCAGACTTAAATATTCGCTGTAACAACTAGACTGGTGGTGTGACTGCTGCTCTGTAGTGCCTGTAGTATCCTAGCTGCTGCTTCTAACTACATATATCCTTGCAAACAACCCTATGACCCTGGGAACTGGCTTCAGTGACATTCTGATCATTTTTGGCCCTATGAAGAGCACTTTAATATTAATGTCTTAGAAGTGGGAAATAGAGGCTGAGAAACTGGGATGTATAGGATATAACAAACAAAGAAATTAACAGAATAAGAGAAATGTACATTTCCTTCAATTCAAGCTTGTTGTTGCAGCAATTATATTTGTCCCCATCTTTTTTGTGTGTGATGAAGAAGAGGCCCAGTGTCCAAACTCATGTCCTAGTGATGTGCGTTATCCATGCGCAGTAAACCTAATTCTGATTCTCAGGCAGCTGAATTACAAATTTCCCACTGATTTTCTCCAGTTGCAAAGTGTTTCCTATGTTTACATGTGCCACCTGGAGGCTGGTAGAATTGGACTAGTAGAAAGGAATGTAATTGATTGATTTGAATGGTAATGTGTGGGTGGAGCTAGACTAGCAACAAAGTACATGCTCTGCGTGTTGAGGGGCTGATTCTAAATCCATGGCATCTCCAGCTGGTATGGATTTCTCTCATCCTAACACCCTGGAAGTTCTTAACAATTGCTGGTCAGTAGCCATTGTTGAACTATGTGGAATGATGGCCTGATATAGTATAAGACAGATTCATGGATGTCCTTTATGTGTGCCATGTAAAATTTAAAGTGGGTGTGTTACAACATAGGACAAGGGAAAAGATGAGAGAACAGGAGCTTCATGATTTTGTTATGGTGTTCTTCAGTGTAGGCTGATTCTCCATAGGTTTATTTGGGTCCCCTGATAGGGAAGATGGGCCATTCCAGAAAGGACAGGATCCTGAAGCATATGGAAGCTTCCACTGCACTAGTCAAGAGCTGGGTAGGTTGAATACCCCCTCAGAGAGAACCCTTGCAGTTCCACATTGAAGTGACTACATCATCAGTGACCCTGCATTCTAATTCAAATTTGATTTGTGACGAAGGGAAGAGTTCTTGCATTATTCTCTAATGTCTCCCTGTTTGTGATTTTAGGAGAGGTCAAAGATTTTTTGTTCTACTCCTTTTCTGATGCTACTGTTGGATTAGTATCCCTGTCTATAAAACTTGTGTACAGCATCAGATAACGTGTGTGTAACAGTGACATGTAAGGATCACCCGAGTGGTAGGTGCCAGAAGGTGCGCAGTGTTCCCTCTAAGCTGAGTTAGTGTGAGGTAGCTCCCAGTTTTTTAGCCTCCTGCTCACAGATTTTTGTCTTAGCTCAGGAAGGATGGCTCCAGAGCAAACTAATTTATGCAGTAGCCAAATCGCTCACTCACAACTTTAATGCCAGTAGCTCACAAAGTAGATTTTTTGTTCACAAGACTCCATAGCTTAGAGGGAGCATTGGATGGTGGAATACATTTAGGAGGAGGGCTTGAGTTCAGAAAGTTCAAGAGAAACTTGCCCAGTCTCTTGCCTTAAAAGTCTACATAATGGTCTACATAATGAAAGAACAATTAGTAGTAGAATACATAGGAGGAGGCTGCTAAAGATATTAAGTGTGTAATGCAAAGGAAAGGGTATCTGATAAATATTAGTCCATGGATGTGACAACTAGGCCTATTCAAGAGCTGTTGACTGATGTTTCCTCAGGTCTGTTAATATTTCACTGACTGGCTTACATTTACAAGTACAGTAGTGAAATAACTTTGTTAATACTGGATGTCTTAACAATTATGTTAAGTTTCACAAGGGACTTGGTCTTCTCTTCTAAGCTAGTTGCTCTCTCACTTAATTGATTGTAAATAACTTTTTAAATACCTTGGTAGGTGACTCTTGCCTCCTCTCTTTGCTCATCTCCCAAACAGCCTTGTCGATCATTCTGAACATCCAGTTTCTTGAAAGACTTGCAAACTTTGTGTGTGCCTCAATCTGAGATTCAGAAATTGTGTTTTTTCCCCCTTCCCAAAGGTACCAAAAGGCAGCTGAGGAAGCAACTGCAGAGAAAAAAAGAAGTGTAAGTATTTTAGTATTTTTAAAAATGCATAAAGTTCTCAGTTTCTGTATCTCCCCCAGTGGCAGCTCTTAAGGACAGCTGAACAGTTTGTTTTCTCTCTGTCTGTCCCTTCATCTAACATCGACTGGGAAATTTTCCGTACATGCTGTTGTTTGCCTTCTTGTCCAGATCTAGCTCTGACCCACTTTCTAGTCCCTTCAGGGGTTGACTGAAGCACAAGGAAGTCAAGTGACTTTCCTGAGGTCATGCATTGACTCACTATATTGGCTGGGTTTTCAGAAACTAAAGTGCTCCCAGCTCCCAATTCCTCTGTCCTAACCTCAAAACATGAATAGCTCTATCTGTGCTTCAGAGTAAAGGTAGCTGTTCAGATTCTGGGCCTCTCCTTCATTCATTCCAAAGCTTTGAAGTTTAAATGGATGCTGTTGACAAATCTTACCTGCTGCCTGCACTCTTCAATAGAGGTTCCGATCACACACACACTAAACAATGCACTTTCAATCCCCTTTCAGTGCACTTTCCAACTGGATTTTACTGTGTGAACTGGCAAAATTCAGTTTGAAAGTGCATTGAAAGTGGATTGAAAGTGCATTGTTTAGTGTGTGTGATTGCAGCCATAAAGCGCACTTTGGGAAATAGGGCTAAAACTGGTTCCTTTTTGTAACACCATGTTTCTGAAATGGCCCGTGTGCAAACCTGAGATCTGTATTCCTCAACTTTCCAAAATAATCTTTGGGCCATACCAAATCATGCACTGTCCACTGGCACAGAGAGGCTTCTTTACAAAATGCTGTAGCATCTTGTTCAGCCCAAGCCTTTGTCTTTATGCAAGGCACTTGCGGTCTTTGATCTTCCACCTCCAAATTTTACAATATAGTTGCAGGTAAGAATTAGTGTATCAATTTGCTGACCCTAGGATCTGTACTCCTAATGAACAGAATCCTGTTCAAGGGACTCAGGAGTTTTGCCTTGTCAAAAACGGATGACAAATTCACAACTTCATTTATTTTGCAAACCTGAAATATCCTCTACATTTTTGTAAGTTTGTTAAACAATATTTAAAATGATGGTTCCCATTCTAAAGTTTTGAAACGTAAAATACAAGCAACTCTTGATCCACTGCATTATCCTGCAGCTTTAGTACATGTCTTGAGGTTGAAGAAGGGTTTCACCTTTATAGGTGGGATGATTGTGTTGTGTCTGACAGCACACTTGGGCTTAAAGAATTCTTGCAACACCTACTCTGGTGCACCAATGTTCCCACATTCTGGCTGTGGTAGTCCTGATAAATGGCTGGAAGCCTTTGATGCTGTTGGGCATCTGAAATCCCACACATGAGCACTTTGTATGAAAAGTAAGCTTTGGGTTAATCACAGTGCTTGGAAACTTGTGAAGGGGACAGTCTACTAGTAGACTGTGTAATTTGGGGCCAACCAAGGCTTGTTTAAGGAAGCATGCCCCAATTTCCTTACATAGGATGCCCTCGAGACAACAAACATGAGGGTACCTTAACCTAAAACAAAGACTCGTTGGACCTTATGCTAGAGTATCTCTTTGGGGATAGTTTCCAGCCAGTTCAAGTGATTCTTTGTGGAGCAGAGGCATGCAAAGTTCAGTTCCATATTCTGATTGTTTCTGTACCTCTGTAGGATAAGGAACTAGTTTCCTACTCATCTCACAGACAGGGAACCATTCTTGTTCCATTACTGCAGTTGGCCCAAGCAAATCCCCAATTCTGACCACATTTGATTGAATGGACTTGGAATGAGTTACTCCAGTGGAGTAATAGGACTCCCTCCTTTTTGACTTTATTTTATTTAGAAAATTTAGATGCTGCTT